GAAAATTCACCGATAAATAAGCCATTCCAACGCCTTGTGGAAAGACCTAAGTGGAAAATAAGGGATCGACATCATGATGAAGCGTTTTATGGTTTTGTCCAGATCTGCATTGCGTTCCTTGGTCAGCATAGCTCGTTCCACAACCATTGCAGCGTCGCTGAACAGACTTTCTTTAAATTCCGCAAAAGATGACTCGATGTTAACCAGTTCATCGAAGCCGGTCACTCCTGAAGACATAATCAAATATGATAATAAGGAATGGACAGAAGATGGTAGTTGAATCTTACCCAAGGCAAAAATCGTTTCTCGGTCTTGAGTTGCCGCGGTGCTGCTATCAAACAACAGCGATACCCGTTTTCGATTGTGCTTGTAAAGACTGGACTGGGGTAACGCCAAGCGTTTCAGCTGCTTGCTAAGGGACGTCTCCATGCTTCGTTTGGAGAACCGTTGAACGTCAATCTGCGTAGCTAACAAAGAAAGTATCATGAAGAAAACAACATAATAATATCTACAGCGGCGGGATGGGGTTACAACTAAGCAATAGAGGGAGCGATAGTTGTTTAACTTTAATTAAATATAATCTTTTCGAGTTTTCGACATGTAAGCGGCACTAAATCATTCGTTCACTGACTACTTTGCTGATCCGTTTGCTGAGCCAGCTATTTCATTAGCAAGCTGCTAAAGGAAGCCTTCCCAAGGGTCCAGGTTCGATCTTAAATGGACAAACTCAAAAGTTTGGATTCCGAGGTCTGAAAATGTATAAGAGCTTCAAATAAAATAGAACTACCTGGCCAACGGTATACCCAAGGACCATCATTTGTGGCTTTGACAAGAGAGCTTGCTTATTCAGTCACACTATCACCTCCTTATTATATCCGCAAATCCTTGAAATTCTGACTTCTAGAATTGGAAAAAGAGCGTTTCGTAATCGAAGATACATTTAAGGGTCTTATCCGAGATCGTACTCTGCAAACGATACAACCACATACATAATCTAGAGTCTCGACGAAACAAAGGTCTTTACGTAACATATCGCATTCGTGCAATGAAACGACGTCAATCTGATGAGCATTAAGCTATTGCAGATTTTCCATCCATCTCCGGCTTTTCAAGGATTTATTTATTACTATACTAAATTCTAATCGAAGAGAAGAGACGGAAAGCTACAGGTTGAACAGTTAGTTCGGGCAAAAAGGAGGCAATAATATCATCGATATTTCAGTCAAACGCAAAAAAACGCTTGTCGATTGCTGCTTTACTTACGCCAACCCTTTAAAATAGAATGACTTACTTTTAGGACGAACTTCTTCACCTTCCATGACCATCTCTCAGATGGGATCGCGGAGGCACATGCGTCAGACAAGCCTTCCAACCTTCCCGATTATGTGTCAGTCTCAGCTTCAGCAGAAGACAACAGGAGTCTAGAGCAGACTCCTTTGATACATGTGGGACACATTAATC